AAACAGTAGGTGCTTGGTATTGTACTATCTTCCTGAGATGACCCTTCTTATAGTGAAATATCTGAACAGTTTTAACAGACGTCTTCTCAGAGCCTAGAAGATGGCAGCCCCTTTAAGCACTGTTATAGTTTTACCTGTGCTGGAGAACAGGTGAATGAGACCTGGGATTCAGCCCACACTCTGCTCAAAACTGAGGTTAAAATCTGAAGAGGTATATTCTCAAGCAGGTAAAAAAGATTTTAAGAACGTTTCTCATAATCAGTTGATTGTTGATAATTAGCTACATAATTAAAGGCCTTTATATCATTGCTTATAATTATTTTGCATTGGGAAATATACTCCTAACTCTACCAAGTCAAATAGCAACATGCTCTAACTCCTTAGAAATTTCTATAGTCTTCAGTGCTAATGAAGGGTCTCCCTAGCCCATGGATTGTATGAAGACCTGAACTTCTGAAGTACAGCCTCCATTAACATAGGTGGAGAAGAAGAGTCTAAAGCTTATTTTCAACACTCAGTTTTTCAGAAATCAAGGTCAAGTGGAGCTGTTGTTTTTTCCCTCTTTTGTCTTGTTTGCCTAAGTCTAGTTGGCAGAGGTTTAGACTCAGTGTAGACTCTAGAGATGAGGAAGTAGGAACAGACAAGGAAGAGGGCTAGGAACTCATCAGCCCAGACTTGGCCCTGTTATAACAACAGAAGTCCTTGAACTTGGCTCTATCTTTCAGTAGTCTGTATTTTCTAAACGGAGTCATGTAACCTAGCAGCACATACTGACCTCAGAGTCTTAAGCCTGCAAGAAACCACACAGAGGTCATTTGCTTTGTATCTTGAGCATTCCTGAGAGATGATCCATCAGGCTCATCTCTCACCAGAGAGGTCACTATCTCCCATTAGGTAGGAACATTTACTGCAGAAAGATCATCTACATTGTGAGATGAATCTTCTTCTCCAGTGCATTTGGGTTTTCAGTCCTGCTGAAAACCTCTGGAGTGCAATAGCCTTGTTTACTGTATCTCCACATTGCCATCAGGTTCACGTGTAGGCTTATCTATGCTCCATTCTTCAGCTGATCTTCATGGGACTTGTTGCCTGAATATTCTGCTTGCCCTGCCCTAGCTGGATCCTGGCAAACATATGGGGTTAGTGTCCCTTCACTAGCACTGAAGGATATGCATGTTTTCTGAGGAGTTAGAGCACCTTGCTATTTGACTTGGTAGAGTTAAGTACAAGGGTACACATTACATAAGATGGGTTCTGAAATGTTTGACAGTCTTTCTTGGAGAATGTGGTGATTAACTCCATGGGAGAAAGTCTGCTTAGTATACTTGTGTTTTTCGTTTGTAGAAACCCCCTGGATTCCTGCATATGAATGTGGCTAGGGGAGTCTATGTCCATGTGAGTTCATCTCGTTGAGAAGTAGGACTTCCCAGTCTTAGAGCAGAGCATCCCAACCTGATTCTATTCTGTGTTATTCTCTCCACTGTGGCCCTTCGGTGTGGGAGAGACATCCATTGACCTAGCTTTTTATCCCCTTTGGGTACTTCTGACTACACTCAGTACTTCTGTACTCACACGGTATCCAGTGGCCTCTTGGATCTTTCACAGAGATCTTTCACATCACATTTCTTGGAACACATCGATGATTCTTTATTCTTAAACAGTTAATGAGACTGATAGAAAACTTGTACCTTATAACCATGACTTCGTCCCTCACGGCTCATTCCTACGCTGTATAGACCCAATTTCCAGACACACAGTGACATGGTACTACCTACACATCCCATTTATTCCACCAGTTTGATGGCTTATGTTGCTCTTGGCTGTAGACCTGCAAAAACAAAGCCATGAGGATAAAGCAGTTTGGATCATGTAATGAAAACCTGGTACCTTTTTGGAGGCCTAGTAGAGGGAAATGATTTATTTTTGCCCTACCAAATAAAACATTCTAGGAATCCAAGGTGAAAATTGGATTTTAACTGCTACTAACATTTTGAGAATATAAAATCGGCAAGTGTTGAGTGCTTTGCCTGATTAAGAGAAGAGCCCAGAGTCTGGTACAAGAATGAGCTGTGTGCAAAGTGGTTGGTGTCTCAAATAAGCCCAACCAATTTATGAAGCTGAAAGAGAATGTTAAGCAGATGTTGGCAGCCAGGTTTCTGCAGTGGAAACCTCTGTGTTTTTATTTGTTCCTTGTCTTATACTTGAATCATTGTCCCCTTTCATTTCCTGCTCCTAATCTTTATTTAAATTGTCTATATTTAAGCTTAAGGACTTGAGCAACTATCCTGATTCAGGTAGTTTGTTTTCACCTTGATTCTTTATCTTCTTTTATGTGGTGTGTGTGTGTGTGTGTGTGTGTGTGTGTGTGTGTGCACTTTTGTGCTTGTACTTCCTGTCATGGACCTGCTGCAGATCCAGATCTGGGATTGGAGCATTCCCACTCAGCATGTAGTGCCCACAGCTTGCAAAAAGCTAACTACACACAGGCTTCCCTATTAGGGTAGCATTTGTTTATAACAGTCGCACAAGCAATGGTCATTCAACCAACTTGGGTTGCTTTCCTGCCTCTTTCAAGAAAAGCATGCCTATTGAATCCTGTCTGTGGAGTAACTATCAGGTGTCACGGATGTGGTGACCCTGGCCTTGTTCACTTTCCCTAAGGCACTATTATATATATTTTAGATTATTCTCAAAAATAGACCAACTCGAATTGTCTTCAAGACTACCTTTTATTCCAGGGAAATCATTTTGTCTTAGAAATGCATTTGGGCAGTTAGACTAACCAGCTTGTTTCACAGAACACTCACAGTCCACTCCAACCCATCCATATGCCCCTTGCTCCCTGAAGAATCTGACAATTTGAAGCTGATGTGAGACATCTGGAATAAGAAACTTTCAGATGATGATGATAAATGATAGTGATAAAAGTGATAGCTTACTTAGCACTTACACATGTCAGACATAGTACTCAGTATGGTACATGGATTTTACCCTTCAAGTTCATGACCATATGGAAAGGTGCTATTATGTATTCCATGTAATGGCTAAGAAAATTCATCTAACTGTGTGTGTATAGAGTCCTTGACCAGAATTCATAACCAGGCTTCTAGAGTGTCTCAGTTACTGTTTTAACCACCATCACAAACTGCTTTTGGAAAGCATATAACACTTGTCAAAATTATAAAAATCATATAAAATCTTAAAAGCCTAAGGACACCAATACCATGCTGTTACCCTAGTTGGCCTTCTCTGAAGTGGTTTTGCTTTATGAGTTGTGTATGCAGTTACTCAGAGCCTCAGTCAGAATGAGGCATGCCTGGACCCAGCAGGAAGGAAACACTGTCCAGGAAGGCCTGCCAGGTCACCTGTGTCTACAGCTTGTTGTTCTTAGGATCCCCGTTCTTTGCTTTGACTTTCCCTCATTGTGCATAGCGTCCTGTCCTGGGACATGTATGCTAACCTCTGATGGTTTTTCTCATAGTAATTGCTCCACTGGGCATTATTGAACATTTGAAATATGCCCTGTTTGGGGATATAAAGATAATAAACAAGCCCTGGACTGCAACGGGTAGCAGTGGACCTGTGTAGCATTATGTTCGAAGTAAAGAAAATGAATCAGGAACCGAGGAGCCAGTGCTGATGCTCATGGTAGAAACAAAGTTGGAGGAAAGAAAAAATATGATAGTGATACAGAGAGAAAGAGAGAAAGAGAGAGAGAGAGAGAGAGAGAGAGAGACAGACAGACAGACAGACAGACAGACAGACAGAGACAGAGAGACAGAAAACAGCATTCAAATAGACCTGAGTTGTTCAGACAATCAGAAAGGGTCCTTTACCAAGCCTAAATAGATGCTCAGAGGTGGAAGGCAACAACAATGTGCAGCCTAAAGTGGGACCAGAGGGGACTTCTCTATCTGGCCTGGGGATAATGGCAGACAATGTTGCTGGAAGTCGTTAGTCGTCAGAGTTATGTGACCAGATTTCTTTTAGAAAAGATGACTCTGGAAACCATCTGAGGATTTTTCTTTGGCAAAGCAGAGGAGCTCCTTAGATGCTCCACATTTGTACACAAGACGAACATGTGGGGTGTGGGGTGTGAGCTTATCCTGTGCAGCCAGGGAGTGAGCGTTAAGTAAGTCTCATTGCATTATGGTCCTTGGGTGATGTTGTAGGACAGGATCGATTTCCTAGGTAGTTCTAAGTAACATCCGTCCCCTGTTTCAGGGTCACCTGATCTTGTATGGTTGCCTAGGAGTCTCACCTGACCTTAATATTTGACAATATAGAACCATAGTTCTAAGGGTATCTGTTCTGCCTGCTGGTCTTGATTAAAATTGCCAGCCCAGTCCCAGTTTGGCTGATCTCCCTGGAGCATTAGTGTCCTCTGAACCGATCTGTTTCATCCTATGGTTATCTCTTAGATTGCCCTTTCTTGGTCTGTCCCTTCTTGGGCCTCCCCAGGTTCTGTAATTCCTTCCTTGTTGACTTCACAGGTCATTTTACAGTTTTATGGCTGCCCATCTCAGTCCAGTGAATATGTCCATCTTTGTATCCCAGTTCATGGATGTATTCTAAGTGTTCAATAATTGCAATGCAAAGGAACCATAAAGGAACAAGTCAACGAAGGGACACTTTGGGCAAGCAATTGTTGTGGGGAGACCTAAAAACTGACATTTTTTCCTCAGGTGAGGGGACATGGTGCAGTTAGGGAAAATGCAGGTAAATGGTAAAAACTATAAGCCTTGTGCATGGACCTATGATGCTGCTTCAGATGTTCATAAGACTTTACAAATGTAAAGGAGTTCATATATGGAAATGTGCTTATTCACTTGCGTGTTATATCAGCTCTGCCCTAGTGTTTGGCCTCCACCTTTTATAGCCGTTCTTTTCCTCTGTAATTGTATCAAGGGAACTGTTTATAAAGTGACTGGGAAGCACCCCAGCTCTGGGACTGAGCAGTCTGCACTCAGTTAACCTCCCCATTTCACACCTCTTTGCAGTGTGGCAAAGCACTCCCTGGCCTTTCAAAGCAAGAAGACTGCTGTGGGACAGTGGGGACCTCCTGGGGCTTTAACAAATGCCAGAAATGTCCCAAGAAGCCATGTAAGTAACATGTCGTCATTTCTTTACTGGTTAATGGAGCATACCTCTTTCCTACCATGACTCTTCATGATGAGTCTCTCAGACCTTCAAAGAAATCCCTGGCTGTATTCCAGAATGTAGCATATACAGCCTGCACTTCTAGAAACATTCCATGACTATTAAAACTTTCCTATCAGTTCTTTTAAATAGTCACTGTTATCAGTTGCCTTCTACAGTTTAATTTCTTAAATGTGGGAGACTGTGAAGAACGGATGAGCAAAATCAACTCTCCTGGCCCTCCAGGATAGGGAATGAATGGCTTTTAGGATGGTGAACAAGTGTTTCAGACCTTATTTAAAGATGTCAGTACAGTTATTATTTATTAGGTTAGAGTCGTTAAATGGAAAATTTGTGACTAGCCGCATCATAGGCTATAGATTTCATTCTGCTACAGATCTCCCCTCATGAAAAGAATCTCAGATCAGGAATTGACTGGTTATCCATTTGTGAAAAAGAAGTGTCTAATTATGGAGCCTAGTATTTTACCTCCCTTATCCTAACACTACTGTTGCACTGCCCCAGTCTTCAGTGGCTGCAATGCCAACCTGCTGTGATTTGCCATTGGAGTGTTTTGCAGAAACTGTTATTTGAGTAAATTCAGATTTATACAATTCCACTCCCTCTACAACAGATTGTAGCTTTAGTTTTTGAATGCAGCATTAACTCCTGCTGACATTTCTAAAAAGATTTTTATAATTGCCCCTTATCTTAAAAGAGACATCTCATTTGTTTCAACCAGATGAGTTTTATTTATTCATCTTAAGTAATGGTTGATTGGATTAACAGTTTCAGTTGTCTTTAACACCTTTTAAGATTTATTTATTTTATTCTATGTGTATGAGGGTTTTGCCTGCATACACATTTGTGTACCCCACTAGGGCCTTGTACCCATAGAATTCAGAAGAGGGTGTCAGATCTTCTGGAAGTGGAAGTACTGAGTAGTACTCCATTGTGTAAATGTACCACATTTTCTGTATCCATTCTTCTGTTGAGGGGCATCTAGGTTGCTTCCAGGTTCTGGCTCTTACAAATAATGCTGCTATGAACATAGCTGAACAGATGTCCTTGTTGTATGAATGTTCATCCTTTGGGTATATGCCTAAGAGTGGAATTGCTGGATCTTGAAGTAGACTGGTTCCCATTTTCTGGAGAAACCACCATACTGATTTCCAAAGTGGCTGTGCAAGTTTACACTCCCACCAGCAATGGAGACGCAGTCCTCTTTCTCCACATCCCCTCCAGCATAAACTGTCGTTGGTGTTTATGATATTAACCATTCTGACAGGAGTAAGATGGTATCTCAAAGTTGTTTTGATTTGAATTTCCCTGATGGCTAAGGATGTTGAGCAATTTAAGTGTCTTTCAGCCATTTTAGATTCCTCTATTGAGAATTCTCTGTTTAGTTCTGTACCCCACTTTTAAATTTAATTATTTAAATTTAATTGAGTTCTTGGTATATTTTGGAAATTAGCCCTTTGTCAGATGTGGGATTGGTGAAGATCTTTTCCCATTCCCTGGGCTGCCATTTTGTCTTGTTGACTGTGTCTTTGTTTCTATTTCTTCTATTTTCTAATTTCCAAAGGAGCCAAGAGTTACAGAAGTTAGTTAGGGGTTAGAGGTAAAGGTTCATATCATTTTTAATTCCTAAGGCCATTCCTGACCTCCAGTAGTTTGTATCTGGCATTGCATCATCTGGGAAAGAATTTGTTGCTTTATATGGTGTTGTTCCTTCACAGTCCAGTCTTGATGGTGATTTCAGTTGAATGGGAAAGGACAAAGTTGCTCTTTTAACCAAGTGTTGTTGAAAGTAAGTTAATAGGTTAGTTCATTTGATACATGAATTGAAGAGATTGCTTTGGTTTCAGGGCAGTGGGGATGATGAATGAATCGAATGATAAGATCTTGGCATTTATTCTGCTTGTTCTGTCTAAAGTGACTCACCACCGAGAAGCACAGTCAAGGTCACATTTTCTTAAAAACTGTCCTTCCCTTGGTTGGTACTGCTCTCTAAATCATATTCGTGTTGGAACAGAGAAGACTTCCCTTGGCTGCTATAGATGATGGTTTTGGGTTCCATGCCCTTGTCTTGTTTTTGTTTTTTGTTTTTCACTCAAAATAGTTTAAACTTCAACTTTCAAGTGGCTTTTAGCTGATGAAGTGTTTGTTTAGCCACATACAAAACCTTTCATTTGGTGATAATTTTTTTTTTGCTTTGAAAGCTTAATTTTAGATCTGTAAATGATTTCATTAACTAGTCTGTCATCTGTTAGCAATGTGCTTAGTGTGAACAAGCCTCTTGCCTTCCTACAGTTTTAGGAGAAAATTAGCATGGAACCTTAAGCAGAGGAAAACTCTGAGAGATCATCTTGGCCTGGCTTTGGGACTTGAAGGGACTGTTGGATACAATCATTTTGTCTTGGAAGGAGTCACAGCTGAGGTCCCAGTTTCTGTAGCACCCTTCTCAGTGGCTTCATTATATGGGACAGAGCTAGACATGAGGCCAAGGGATGAATGGAACAACTTCCACAAGCCAGCATTTCCCCTTTTAACCCCTAGTTCTCTGAATCTAATCACTGTAGAAGAATGCATCTTATGATAGGAATACTTAATCACTAATTGGAAGATAATACAAAACAGTCTTGTGATTCAGTTAACACAATAAAGATTTGCTGGCAACTTTCTAGGACTACAGCTATTGCAAAATGGGAAGTATACTGAAAACAAGCTTGAGGTGAAAGCAGTCAGTCGTAAAGTTCGTTATTGGTATCGATAGCTTGTAAATGATAAGTCTACTGGTGCCATAAATGGCACTGCATCTAGCAGTTTCAGACCGTCGGATTATAAGCTACACATGTAATGAAGGATTTTTCCCCCCACTTACAGCCTATCATGGATATACTCAAATGATGGAATGCCTACAAGGATATAAGCGGGTTAACAACACATTTTGTCAAGGTAAGGCTTATTGAACTTACTGATGTGGATTCGATGGGTGTCTTGGCATTTTAGAAGTATGAATTGTTCTGCTACATTATGCTCCTGGGTCCAGCATGTGACAGTTACATGGTGGGTAGATGACTTCCTGCTCTTTTCCTGTAGCTAAGGGCATACTGACATTTAGTGTGTGATTGGTAAAGTTGCTTACTCTTTAAAACTCCTTGAACTCTTACTTTTTATTAACTTGTAGCAAAAACCTGCAGGAAGTGTGGATGGCACTTAGCAGACCCTCGTTCCCATGCCAGTCACACGGGTGCATGGGTACCCGTACCTGTACCCACTTAGCAGAGGGTCTTCCTTGCTGACCCACCCATTCACAACAGAGTTCCCCTTTCTCCTCCCATGAATGTGTTGTTCCCCATCTCAAATTATGAAAGAACTAAATAGGAGCATGGACCTCTGTCCCCCAGGCAGCCAGAAAAGCTAGAGAGCCAAATGGGAGATGCCCTGGGTACTTTTGTTTCATATTCATAGCACAATGGGGAGCTGTATGTAGAGGGAATACTTCATAATTCATCTAGTCTTGGGCCTATGAGTGAGGAAAGCAAAGCCATGCTGAAATGTTAATTACCCCTGTGTGGTTGAGCTGAAACCATATCTTAATTTGACCAGTGCCTCCTTGTGATCTAGTTACTTTATGGGGTCACTGCCAAGAGTCCTCAGACAGAGCTAGGATGTCTTCTACTACTTAGTCCAGGAATTATTTCTTGATGTTGTGTTTTAAGAATTTGCTTCCAAGTTGGTTTTTTGAGTAGATTTTGATTGCCCCCAACTAAGAACCCAGCCTTACTGAGTCATGGACTCGGAGCCTAGAGGACATTATGGATTAAAAAATAGTATGAATGAAGAAAGACTTTCTTTATTATTAATAAAAGAATTGCTATTGGTTTAGGTAGGGAAAGTACTGATGGCTTAGGAAAAAACTAAGAAGTTTTTAGTGATTCTTGATTAAGTTCTGTGTCTAAACATTAAGCCCAGTGCCCAGAATCTTATACAGTGGCACACAAATAACTAATTTTCTTCTTTCTTTATTTTTCTTTTTTGAAATGTAAGGAGCAGCCTGGCCTCAAACTTGAATTTTTTAATAATTAATTAATTCTATTCTAATAACTGGTTATTTTATCCAAGTCATTTCTCCGGTATGATGTGTTAATTTAGCAATATCTCTTATTCCTTCAAATGTCTTTGTGAAGTAAGTGATGCTATGTATATTTTGTAGATGTAGATACTGAGATCCATCGAGGTTAGGCTAAGTATTAAACTAGGTGGACTGAGGCTGGTGAGTTCTAAGACATACTGGGCCATACACAAAGATCCTGTCTGAATTTATAAAAAAAAAAAAAAAAAAAAAAAAAAGAAACTGGACTAAAAACTTAAAAAGCCATTATTTTAGATGACTGAAGAATTCTTCAGGAGATGCTCGTCAATTTTGTATTTTCATCTGCTGGTGTGACTGGGTGATCGTTAACAAGTGTGGTCCATACAGAGCAAATCCTCTGACAGTTGGTTAGTAACAACAGATCCTGGCTCTTGTTGGTCTCGGGAGGAGGCCTGCAAAGCAGCATTATGCTTTCTGGCAAGGAAGGATTCTGGATTGCAGTATCACAGAACATTTTATTTCACGGTGCCTCAAGAAGGCACTGCTAAATTACATACAGAGAAGGTTGACTCACGGAACAGTATGATTTCATTCAGCATAATCTACTGTAATTGCTATTGAGAGCAAGGCCTAATTTCCCTCCCTTTGTGATATTAGTAGTTGGCAAAATGAAATAGAACTTTCTTGAATTACGTACAGACCCTTAGGTTTCCTAGAGCCTTGAAGCCTTTTGATTTTGTTATCCGCAACAGAAATTCAAAAGGAGCCCATTAAGCATCTAATTACGTGTGCTTCCCACTTTGTTCTTTCAGTCTCTAGCCCTCTCTGTTTACAAAGCACATTTAAAATTAAAGTGATTAATAACTAGAATTACATTATTTCCTTCATGTCCCAAAGCGTCTTTTACCAATGTGTACTGAATAACAAAGAAACCAACTGTGAGCATGCTAACTTGAGAAGCTTTCACATCATTGCGCTTCAAGACCCCCCCCCCCCCCGGTCATTGAGTAATTATCTTTTCAAGGGAATGATTTATTGCACATGCACACATGCCACTCTGAGGGCCGCCCCTCTCTCCTAGCACGATGGAAGTGGTGTGATCTCCTTCATCTGTCACAGCAAGCAGTTCAGCTGTGCTTCCTGGTGGATCCAGAGTGGCATTCTTCATCTGTCTCTTGACTATTCTGCTAATTGTTTTACATAGAATGAGAAAGACATGAAATAGTGCCATCTAGAAATAGTAGTAAGAATGCCTACTTTTTAATAGCATTGTCAAATGCTAGACACTTATTCTCTTCCAATAGTATCTTCACTCTCCATTGCCCTATCATGAGATAAGAGTATTGAAAATGCAGACATACGGGGTGTAGTGGGGATGTGGCTCAGGTGGTAGTATGCTTGCCTGGCATCTTTGAAGCCATGAGTTTGGTCTCGGCACCATTAAGCTGGGCATGATGGCAGCATCTGTTATTCCAGTACTTAGGAGCTAGGGGTAGAAAGATGAGCAGTTCAAAGTCATTCTCCTCTCCATAATGAGTTGGAGGCCAACCTGGGCTACATGAGACCCTGTCCCCAAACCAAGTTAGATGTACTTCTAAATGCTAGATAATTTTTAAAAACAAACATCTCTTGGCATCCCTAAAATCACTTACCAGTTTCATGACTTTACAGATAAAAAAAATCAACACAACTGTTTTCTACCTTAAAATCACCTGCCAAAAATGGTACAGATTTCGTCAAAATATATAAATATAAGATGCCTTATAGTTTAATCACTGGTGGCATAAATGTTAGTTTTTCAAGGGTAATTTTGAAAACCTTCCTAGTGACTCACTGTTCCACAAATGTTAATTGATGGGGCATTCCTGCCATGTACAGGAGATGCGTCATGAGCTCTGGGTAAGATACTGTTCCTACACTCAGACAGCAGTTTGAGTCAGCAGGATGTAATTTGCTTAATTCACTCTCCCAACTCACTGAGTTATGACTGACTCAGGATGAGCCTTTCAAAGGAGTTATGAAGGAGGTGCCTGTGGACCTTTCTTTTTGTTAGCGTTTTATTATTATATTTTTTTGTTGTTTTAACAAAATAAATGAACAAAACCTATACATTCATGGTAGTGATACTCATTGCTAAAACTTCCACTGACTGCCTCTTTATAGGTAAGATTTCCCTAAAGTGTACCTATCACCAAATTTTATTTAAACTCAAAAAAAATATAAATTGCCCATTTTAAGGATCATATTTGTTAAATGAGACTCACCTGATGATTTTACTATATATGAAGCAATTTCATCTACAACCTTTTTGGACATGTGATCCATGGGTAGACTAGTGCACAGATACAGTGAGTGTGTGATCCACGGGTAGACTAGTGCACAGATACAGTGAGTGTGTGATCTACGGGTAGACCTAGTGCACAGATACAGTGAGTGTGTGATATATGGGTAGACTAGTGCACAGATACAGTGAGTGTGTGATTCATGGGTAGACTAGTGCGCAGATACATAGGTAGAGTCACAAGATTGTCTAGCTCTACAAGTCATCACAAAGCAAACATACATGTATAGTTATTACCCAGGTCAACACACAGAACATATCTTGTACCTTGGAACACTTTCTTCCTCTTGTCCAGGTGTAATCAGTGTTCTAACTTTTGGAACCACAGTCCAGTTTTGTATCTTTAGAAAATTTTCAATTTTTTATATTTTTATTTCTCTCCTCCTCCTTCTCCTTGTCATCACTATTTTCTTCCTTTCTTTCTCCTCCTCCTCTTTTCCCTCTTTCTCCTCTTTCATTGAGGTAGGTTCTTCCTAGGTAGTTCATGCTGGCTCCAAAGTCATTGTGGAGTCCAGGATACTCTTGACTATGCAATCCTCTGCCTCCTGGTGCTGGAACTATAGGTGTGAGCCACTATGCCCAACCCAATATGTGTTCTTTTGGTTCTGTCTTCTCTTAACAGCATGTGGCCAATCAGTGTTTATTCTGACTGTTGTGGTGATGCTATGCATCACTGTTGTTATTCAGCACCCCCAGTGCTCCTCCTCCTTTGCTGTATTCTTCACTGACTTCTTGCAGCCTTGCTACATACCCACATCCTCTTGGAGAGTAGTCTTCCTCTACCTAAATTAAGTGAAGCATGCGTGTGTGCATGTGTGTGTGTGTGTGTGTGTGTGTGTGTGTGTGTGTGTGTGTGTGTGTGTGTGTGTTCATGTGGGTGTATAAGCATGTGAGTGTGTATGTGTTCAGGACAGAGGCTGACATTGGACATCTTCAATTGCTTTCTACCAAATACTTTTTTTTTTTTTTTTTTTTTTTGGTTTTTCGGGACAGGGTTTCTTTGTGTAACTTTGGAGCCTATCCTGGAACTCGATTTGGAGACCAGACTGGCCTCGAGCTCAGAGAGATCGGCCTGCCTCTGCCTCCCGAGTGCTGGGATTAAAGGCAAGCACCACCAATGCCCGGCTCTACCAAATACTTTTTGAGACAAGGTCTCTCACTAAACCTGAAGCTTACCAATTCAGCCCTGAAGATCCTTCTGTGTCTGCCTCACCAGCATTGGAAATATAGGCATGCTTAATTTTTCTATGTGGGTAATGAGAGTTGAAGTCAGGTCTCCACACTTGTGCAAACAACACTTCATAGACAGCCATTTGCCCAACTCGCTTGTTGTAGTTAGAGTTTCTACTACTGTGATGAAACACCATGACCAAAAGCAAGTTGAGGGAGGAAAGGGTTTATTCAGCTCTCACTTCCACATCACTCTTCATCATTGAAGGAGGTCAGGACAGGAACTCAAGCAGGGCAGGATCCTGGAGACGGGAGCTGATGCAGAGGTCATGGGGGGGGGTGCTGCTT